TCAGCACTTACTCTGGCCTTGTGCTTTATGTCTCTCACTTAATTCTCATAATCCTCTTATTTTCATTTAACAGATGAGGAAACTAAAGCATTGGCAGGGTAAGTTAAGTAAGTCTGCAGCAGTGGAGAGTGGGCAGGGCAGGGATGGGGACTCTGGGTGTCCGCCCTGGACCTGGTACCAGGAGCCCCAGTGGATGTAGCCTCGTCCCCATCTCAGCCTCTGCCAGCACAATGTTGGAAAATGCAAATCTGATCGTGTGTCTCCTGGGCTAATCCCTTTCATGGCTCCCCTTTACCTCAGGGGCAAAAACCATGCTGTGAGGATGACTGCTACACCCCCTTCTTCCTGCTGCCCCACCTCCCCAGCCAGCTTTCCTGCTTTGGATGTGCCGAGGCCCCTTGGTACATGGAAACTGCTCTCACATTTTCACCATGACTGCATTTTATACAGGCGGAATCCTCAGACGGAAGAGGGGACAGCGTGGATCATATCACAGCACCAATAAAGGGCAGAGGTCTGGTGGGTCTGAAACCCTGCATGGCCAGAGGTGTCCAAGGCCAAAAGGCAGAGAAATGACCAGGGGCCTCTTCCCAAGGCAGCTTCCTGGGCCCAGCCTGGGAATGCAGGGGAGCAGCATGGCAGGCGCTGCTTGTGGTTTCCCTGGGGCGTCTGAGCACCTCCTTCCCAGCCCTCCAGAGCCCCCAGGGCTGTCCCGGTGGTCACAGAAGCTGCAAGACCTGCTGGGGGGTTTTCCAGCAGGTGGGTCCTGCCCCCCCAGGGCTCCTGGCAGTCAGGCACCGCCTGCACTTCCTGCTCCTCTCCCATGGGGTCCCAAAGCCGCCCCTCCACGCTTCCTTCCTCAGGGTCCTTCCCTCCCTCCCCAGTAGGTTTGCTGCCCACGCCTGAGGACAGGCCGCTGCAGCCTGGAGTTCTCACACTTGACTGTGCTGCAGAATGCCCCAGAGGGCATTCAGACCCTGACCCCCAGGCCCAGCCCCAGTCTCTGGTCTGGAGGCCCGTGTGAGACCTCAAAACATGCATTTTTGCTTGTTTGTTTTTGGCCTTTTTCTGTGTGTGTGAAGCTGTCTCATGTCTCAATAATTCCTTCAACTCAAAGTACAAATTCTCCAGATTCCTAAAAGGGGGACTTTAGGCTTATTGTGTACCTTTAGTGACACCTGGTCACTGATTTTATGGAGGATTTATTTCTGGGTCTTTTTTCTAGACTTTTCAGCATAGCTACTTCTTTCTTCAAGTTTAGATGCTTCACACACAGTCAACCCTTTTTAGAGCAATGTGTGGGGAGTCACGCTGCCCTGCCAAGGGAAGAATATTATCCTTATGGCAAAAAGGGAAGTCATTGTGGGTTATTCAAGGTTAACCTTAATATAGGACTCTTTAGGCTAGTTTAAAAATCTCATTTGGGAAAGGGGACAGAAGATCTGAATAGAAATTTTTTTTTCCAATAAAGACATACAGATGGCCAATAGGCACATGAAAAGATGTTCAACATTACTAATTAGTAGGAAAACGGTAATAAAAAGTACAATGAAGTACCACATCATGACTATTAGAATGGTTGTCATCAAAAAGGCAAGCAACAGTAAGTGCTGGAGAGAATGTGAAGAAAAGGAAACCCTCCTATAAGTTGGTGGGAATGTAAATTGGTGCAGCCGCTATGGAAAACAGTGTGGAGATTCCTCATTAAGCTAAAAATAAAACAACCATATGATCTAGCAATTCCACTTCTGGGTACCCATCTGAAGAATAGGAAAACACTACTTCAAAAAGATACATGCATCCTCATGTTCTCAGTAGCATTATTTCCAATAACCAAATATGGAAATGACCTAAATGCCCATTGACAGGTGAATAGTTCAAGAAGTCTATGTGTATACAGCATAATATTATTTCATCATAAAAAGAGGAAATCTTGCTATCTGGGGTAACGTGGACGGACCATGTGGGTATGACGCTAAGTGATACGTCAGATGGAGAAACACAAGCACAAGTACAAATCAAAAGAAATAAGACAAGCCAAGCCAAACAAAGAGTGCCTTGGACGGCAAGGAGACCAAACCAGTCCATCCTAAAGGAAATCAGTCCTAAAGGAAATCTATACTCATGGCAAGGACTGATGCTGCAGCTGAAACTCCAATACTTTGGCCACCTGATGTGAAGAACTGACTCACTGGAAGAGACCCTGATGCTGGGAAAGGTTGAAGGCAGGAGGAGAAGGGGACGACAGATGATGAGATGGTTCGATGGCATCACCGACACGATGGACATGGGTTTGGGTGGACTCTGGGAGTTGGTGATGGACAGGGAGGCCTGGCGTGCTGCGGTTCATGGGGTTGCAAAGAGTTGGACAACTGAACTGAGCAACTGAACTGAAACCAAACAAAAACAAACACTTAGAGAAAACAGAGCAGTAGTTACCAGAGGGGAGGCGGGTAGGGGCTGAGGACAAAATGAGTGAATGCATTGGCACTTACCAAGAGCATCACCAAAGACTGAACAACAAAGGCCTTTGCCATCTGCCCCTGTGGAGAGTGAACCCCTGGCTGCTGTAGCTGTTGACCTTCAACAACTCCTGAGGGAGTCCAGGGTGGAGTGAGGCGCTCTGTGCTCCAGGGACTCTGGTGGGACAGGTCTTTAGATGGTTGGATATTTTTACGAACAGATTTTATGATCTCCATCCAAAGATCATGGCATCTGGTTCCATCACTTCATGGCAAATAGATGGAGAAACCGTGGAAACAGTGGCAGACTTTATTTTTCTGGGCTCCAAAATCACTGCAGATGGTGACTGCAGCCATGAAATAAAAAGATGCTTACTCCTTGGAAGAAAAGTTATGACCAACCTAGATAGCATATTAAAAAGCAGAGACATTACTTTGCCAACAAAGGTCCGTCTAGTCAAGGCTATGGTTTTTCCAGTGGTCATGTATGGATGTGATAGTTAGACTATAAAGAAAGCTGAGTGCCGAAGAATTGATGCTTTTGGACTATGGTGTTGGAGAAGACTCTTGAGAGTCCCTTGGACTGCAAGGAGATCCAACCAGTCCATCTTAAAGGAACAGTACTGAATGTACATCGGAAGGACTGATGTTGAAGCTGAAACTCCAATACTTTGGACACCTGATGCAAAGAGCTGACTCATTGGAAAAGACCCTGATGCTGGGAAAGATTGAAGGCAGGAGAAGGGGATGACAGAGTATGAGAGGGTTGGATGGCATCACCCACTCAGTGACATGAGTTTGAGTAAACTCTGGGAGTTGGTGATGGACAGGGAGGCCTGGCATGCTGCAGTCCATGGGGTTGCAAAGAGTCGGCCACGACTGAGCGACTGAACTGAACTGAACTGATCCTTGCATCTCTTCATATCTAGAGAAGCACTAAATCCCTTCAGAGTGACATCAGATTCTAACAAAAAACCTTTTGTAAAATGCGTACTTCATGGTATTGAACTCCCCCTTCACCAAAACCTTATGTATTGACCTTCCCCCACTGCCGCTTTGGAGCAGTCTCTCAGAGCTGAGATGGTGCCTCCCAGGCTGCAGTCCTCATTTTGCCCCAAATAAAACTTAACTTGCAACTCCTAAGTTATGCATCTTTTTTAGCTGGCAAATGTTATAAACCAATGTTATCTCAAAAAAAAAAAATCACTTGGTATCATGCTGTATCTCAGAAGACCTACATGATCACTATTCGTTGACTTAAAAAATATTCACAATCTACAAGTTGAGAGTTATGTTTTATCCAGTGTGAATTTCGAGGACTTCAAGTCCGGAGACAGCACCTCAAGCCACCCTGAGAGAACTGCTCTGGAGGAGGCGCGGGGAGGAGCCAGGTTATATAGAAGTTTTGCAACAAAGGGCAGGTAGTCTGAACATCAAAAGATTATTGTTAAAGAAAACCAGATATCCCAAGTTGAGTTTAGAGCTTTTCTATACATGGGAAAATGTAAGCGTCTGGGCTCACTGAAATTATCCTTTCACCGCATCTCAGCTCCCCTGGGCCAGTATCCTGTTGTTCACTCCGGAGTGCCCCTGGGGAGTGGCTTGCAGGCCTGATGACTGTCAGACATTCTACTCCCTCCTGGGTGTCCTCAGGGTTCAGGAGATCATGTTGAGGCAAGTGCTCAGCCTTTGCGACCTCAGGGGCGGTAGCCTGCCATCCCTCTGTCCGTGGAATTTTCCAGGCAAGAACAGGAGCTCACGCTGGAGGGCTGATGACTGTGACATCCTTGCTTACCGATTTAGCAGGAAACACTCCATTTTTCACTAGCAATCACTGAGCATATCATGAAGACAGTTTGGGAAGATGGATGGTCCCGGGGCTGCTGCATGCCTGTGGTCGGAGGGCGTGGATTCCTCACGTGTGCCTGGGCCACGCTGCTGTCAGGGACCACACTTTGAGAAGAGCTCTGTACAGGAGACCGGCTGGAGGGGTGGTGGGCTGGCAGGCAGGGGGTGAGTAGGGGCGCACCACGCCTCACCAGGTACAGCTGTGCCTGCTTCCTTTTCCATCAAGTTCAGGGAAGGACAACAGGTACGTCTTCCAGTCTGAATGACACATGAAAGGAAGGGACCAGAATTGTTCCCCAGATGGTGAAGTGGTAAAGAATCCGCCTGCCACTCCAGGAGACCCTGGAGATGAGAGTTCTGTCCCTGGGTCAGGAAGATCCCCTCGGAGTAGGAAATGGCTACCCACTCCACTATCCTTGCTTGGAAAACTTCTTGCCCAGAGGAGCCTGCTGGGCCACAGTCCATGCGGCTGCGAAGAAAGAGCTGGACACGACTGAGTGCGCACACATTTATTTCTCTCGTTTACTCAGGAGTCCTTTTTCGGGGCAAATACATCTGTCTCCCCCTTTGAGGCTCTTAGGCGCTGGGAGGACTTCTGCCATCACCTTGAGGTCTGCGAGAGGGAAGAACCAGCCCCGTGGGGTAGGCGCGTGGGGTAGGCGCGGCTGATTCTCCAACTCCACTTGACAGATCGGGACACCGGGGCCAATGGTGTCCCCGCTGCTCACACCGCGGGGAAGCGGCGGAGAAGGGAGTCAAGCCGGATCTGAGTTTCCAGCTGCCCCGAGTGCTTCTGCGGGAGTTCACCGTTCTCCCGGCGGCAGAAGGTCCCGGGCCGCGGGACCGGAGGCCGCTGGGCGGTTTCTCGGGGGACGGCGCCCTCTAGTGGTCCGCGTGCAAAAGCGAGAAAGCCTGGCAGCCCCTCCGGGCCCCGTGTTTGCTTTCTTCTCCCCGGCACTCCGCAGACACTTTCCCAGCGCCCACTGAGCGCTCGCCGGGACACGCTAGGACTAACAGAGACGCGGTGGCTGCTTTGGCCGCAGAACAGAAGTTACATACCCACGCGGATGCATTCGGTTGGCCAGAGGTCGGCTGGGTTTCACAGGGAATGGTACTGGAAACATGGAACCGACTTTTGGCCAACTCAGTGTGGGTTTCCCTGGTGGCTCAGCTGGTGAAGAATCCGCCTGCAGTGCAGGAGACCTGGGTTCCATCCCTGGGCTGGGAAGACCCCCTGGAGAAGGGAAAGGCTGCCCACTGCAGTATTCCGGCCTGGAGAATCCCGTGGACTGTAGGGTCCATGGGGTCGCAAAGACTCGGACAGGACTGAGCGACTTTTACTTTCACTTTCGGAGAAGTACAGCTTGTATTACAGATTCATGGAGGAACCATTCCAGGTGCGTGAGCCTGTGGCTGGGTCAGCCAAGGCCTCTCCAGGACGAGAGGCTTGTTGTTCAGTCACTATATTGTGTCCGACTCTCTGTGACCCCATGGACTGCAGCACGCCAGGCTTCCCTGACCTTCCCTATCTCCTGGAGCTTGCTCAAATTCACATCCATTGAACTGGTGATGTCCTCCAACCGTCTCATCTTCTGTCGTCCCCTTCTCCTCCTGCCCTCAAATCTTTTCCAGCATCAGGGTCTTTCCCAGTGAATTGGTTCTTCGCATCAGGTGGCCAGAGTTTTGAGAGGCTTGACTAGGAGTTGAATGGGAGAAGGGGGTGGAGGGGGAGTGGGCATCAGTGGGGAGATTTGGGCAGAAGACACCACACATGTGAAGGCTCTGAGCCGGGGACGCCTGGGGAGCCTGTGGGCTGGGGGAGTCCAGCCAAGCCAGGCAGCTGGGAGGGGGTATCTCTGTGGGAGGAGAGCTGGGGCGGTGGGCGGTGAGTCTCAGAGCTTTCTGAGCCCCAGCAGGTCTCTGGGTGCTAGGTGCATTAGGATGGTGTCACGATTACGGGTGTGTGGGCTGTGGCTCCAAGTTGCCCGAGTCTGAATCCTTTCTCTGCTTTTGCCCACCAGGTGACCTTTGGCAGGTTGCTGACGCTCTCTGTGAATGCTTGGGGTGAGCACACAGCCCTCGTAGGGCTCCTGGGAGGGGCAAGAGAGTCTGCGCTGGGAACACGCCTGGAACAGTGCGGGGCCCGAGTGCTGGCGGATATTGTCCCTGCTGTTGTCACGGGAGGATTCTGGGGTGGCATGCCAGGGTCAGAATCTCAGCGGCAGGAGGACTGCAGCCTCTGATGAAGATGGCCTGTAGGGGGGTGGAAGCAGGGAGACGAGGGAGGGAGGGAGGGAGGGGGATGATGGCCACGTGAGCTGGGAGGCTCTGGGGGAGGACTAGGCAGGACACACTGCCAGGGTACTTAGGAAGTGAGGTCAGCCCCGCTTGGTTGATGGATTGGATATTGGCGTGGAGGGTGTCGACTTGAAAAACAGAAACAACCTGAAAGTTGAGAGCTGTTTTACTCAGTGGGAACTTTTAGGACTGCAAGCCCGGGAGATGTCATCTCAGGCGACCCTGGGGAACTGTTCCCAGAAGGTGGGGGCAGGAGTCGGGTTACATAGGCGCTTTGCAATGAGGGGCAGGTAGTCTGAGCGTCAGATTATTTGTTAGTTAAAGAAAACCAGATATCCCAAGTTAGGGAATTTAACGCTCTTCTGTGTATGGGAAGATGCAAGCGTCTGGGCTTACTGAAATCATTCCTTTCATATGCATTTCAGCTATCTGGGGCCAGTATCCTGTGTTTTCTGCATCCTGAGTTCCTCAGGACTCCCTGTAGGGAGTGTCTGCAGCCTGATGGCTACTAATCACAGGGCCTCTTCTTCCTGAGTGCCCTGGAGGGCTGGAATCGCTGATGACTCTGACATCCTTGTTTATTGATCTGGCAGGAAATATTCCAACTCTCAAGGGTGAAAGAGAAAGGGTCCAACATGATTCTCATGATTCGGGGCTTCACAACAGGAGATGAGGCCCAGGGGGTTGCTGTTTGATTGACTGATAGATTGAGTCATTGAGTGATGGGGAGGGTTCTGGACCATCCAGGGTCAGATTGCGGTTCCTGAGCGTGGACTGGAGGAGCTGGCTGGGAGATGGTGTCTGCAGGGTCCAGAGCTTGGAGAGTGGCCCGGGAGAAAAGGATTCAGGATCACCCTCAGAAGGGCCCTTATTAAAGCTGGGGGTGAGGATGTGGAGGTGGGGTATCTGCCCCCAACCCCACAGTGGCTGGTCATACAGGGACAGATGGAAAGGACCCTGGGGCTAGAGCCTGGATCTGTCAGCACGTGGGCCGGAAAGGTGCCTCTGTCTGCTGGAGTCAAGTGCTCCTCCCTCCGTGGTACCGTTGGCCTCAGGCCACTGTGTGCTTTCCCGCTGTTTCTTGTAAACGCTCCTCTCTGACGCCTCCTGCCATCGCGTGGTCCTCCCGGTAACATCCACTTCCTCGCCTGGCCCTCCGGCTCCAGGCCCGTCCTCTGCGCGCCCTGCTCAGCTGACACCCTGGCAACTCCCATGCTTTTCATCCTTCCAGCCCCCACCCCCTCCCCCCGAGGAGGCCTCTCCCCTGAGGTCTCTCAGCCGGGAGTGTTGCTTTTTGTTAGTTTGTTTTTGGCCCCTTTGGTCTTTGCTGCTGTGTGTGGGCTTTCTCTAGCTGCAGCGAGCAGGGGCTACACCTCGTGGTGCTCAGGCTGCTCACGGCGGTGATTCTCTTGTTGTGGGGCTTGGGTGCTAAGCATGTGAGCTCAGTAGTTTCAGGCTTAGTTGCTCATGGCAGGTGGAATCTTCCTGGAGCAGGGGTTGAAGACCTGTCCCCGGAATTGGCAGGCTGAGTCTTAACCCCTGGACCAACAGGGAAGTCCAATGGGCGTGGTTGGATTTTGTAAAACTCCTGGATCCTGGGGTAAGTCGACGGAGTGGATGTCTTCCTTGAGTCCTCAAACCTCGTCAAGACCTTCTACTTCCTTGCAAAACACCTGGCTCGTTTGAGGGCAGGTGCTCAGCCACCTCCCCCTGCCCTTTGCGCCTCTGCGTCCGTGGCATCAGCTTCCTGGACCACCTTCCATCCCACCCCTTCTCTGAGACCTCGTGGAGAGCTTCAAGCCCCAGGGTCTTCCTGTTCACCATCTGCTGGCCGTCAGGCAGGCCCAGGGCCTTGGCCGTTCCTCCTCCTCCCTGTGTCCCTGATTTGACATTTTTTTCAGTTCTGTCAACTTTTACCTTATGTATCATGAGGTCATATCATTAAGAACATGAAGATTGGGAACTATTACAGCTACACCTTTAATCATTATGAACTCACCCTCTCTCTAGTAATGTTGGTTTTAAAGTCTACTTTGGGGGGGATATTAGTACATCTACACTTTTGACTCTTGTTTGCATGATGCTTCTCTTTCCATATTTTTATTTTCTACATTTCTTAACCTTACATTTATTTATTTATTTTTTTGATGTGGACCATTCTAAAGTCTACTGAATTTCTTATGGTATTGCTTCTCTTTTTTTTTACATTTTGACTTTTTGGCTGCGAAGCACATGGAATCTTAGTTCCTCATCCAGGGATCAAACCTGTACCCCCTGCATTGGAAGGCAAAGTCTTAACCACTGGGCTGCCCGGGAAGTCTCATCTTAGCCTTACATTTAAATTTTTTTAAAAAATATTTTTCCTATCTGATATTCTTTGTGTTGACTGTAATGCTTGATCTATTTTTATTAACATAATTAAACACTCTGAGTTTATGTCTACCACATTAGCATGTGGTTTTCATTTCTTCTGCGTATTTTATGTTTCTTCTTTTTGTTTGTTTTGCCTTTGTACCAGTTTTCTAGGGCTGCCATGACGAAGTGCCACAGACTGAATGGTTTAAAACAATAGAGGTCTATTCTCTCAGAGTTCAGGAAGCCTTCTGAAAAAGCAGGGCGTCATCAGCAGCGTTGTTTCCTGTAGGAGGCGCTGAAGGAGGCCCCCCTTTCCCCACGCCTGTCTCCTGGCTTCTGGTATGGCCAGCAAGCTGTGGCACCCCTTGACTTGTAGGCGTCTTCCCGATCTGCCTTCACACCTATCTGGTGCTTTTCTGGGTCTCTGCGTCTTCACGTTGCTGTTGTGCAGCCGCTAAGTCGTGTCTGACTCTGAGACCCCGTGGACTACAGCACGCCAGCTCCTCTCTCCTTCAGCGTCTCCTGGAGTTTGCCCAGGTTCGTGTCCATTGAACGGTCATGCCGTCTAACCACCTCATCCTCTGCCGCTCCCTTCTCCTTTTGCTCCAGTCATTCCCAGCGTCAGGGACTTTTCCAGTTTCTTGGTTCTTCGCATCAGGTGGCCAAAGCATTGGAGCTTCAGCTTCAACAGCAGCCCTTCCAAAGAATTTTAAGGGTTGATTTCCTTTAGGATTGACTGGTTTGCTACACGGTCATCTTCTTATAAAGACACCAGTCTTATTGGATTAAGAGCCCATTCTACTCCAGTCTGTCTTAGCTACTAATTACATCAGCAAAGACTGTTTTCAAACAAAGTCAAATTCTGAGGCACTGAGAGTTAGACTCAACATATTATTTCTGGAGGGCATAATAATTTTCTCTTGAATTAAGTATTTTAGGGGAGGGGGGCTGATGCAGTGTGTAGCATGTTGGATCTCAGTTCACTGACCAAGGGTCAAACTTGTACCCCCTGGAAGAGCATAATCTTAACCACTGTACCACCAGGAAAGTCCCCTGAATTAGATGCTTTTTACTACTCCATTGTGCGTCTGCTAGTCTCTTAGTTACACATTTTATTACTGTGTTTTTGTGATTATCATAATGATTGCAATATGTACCATACTTAATCAAGTCTAATATTAGTGTTTTTGCCATCTTGGACAATGCAAAGACTTTGGAGCTCTGTTACTGCAT